AACTAACTAACTACTACTAACTACTAACTAACTAACTAACTAACTAACTAACAAACTAACTAACTAACTACCTAACTAACTAACTAACTGACTTACTAACCCTCAAGGATGTCCATCAAGACGAAGAAGAAGTTAAACAACTTTATTTGGATAACTCACAGGAACAACTAATTTAAAAACGCTCACAATGATAATTCCATACCAGTCCACTGTGGGAGGGAATGGACCATTTTTTGAGATCAAAAAATGCTATTTCTCGGCTAGTGTCGATCAGGGATAAGTGGAAGCAAACAACCCAAGAGGGGCACTATCGACAATAACAATTTATAAAATTGTTTCCTCCCATTCGATTTTATATAGCGCTCGGCTGGCTCTTAAAAACATGAATGAGTGTCCAATTTTATCTTTTGTATACCATGTAAAAGTTAGTCCTGATCAAACTAGCCATTTAGAAATGCCACATTTATTGCTACAAAATATTTCCCTCTGCCTCAATGTGCAGTTCCTTAATAAGTCGACATTAAGATTGAACTTTTAACCCCAATTAATGTCATACAAGTTATCCCCCTAAAATTGTACATCCAACGTGGGTGTGTAGTGTAGGGTAAAAAAGCCTACTGAATTTTTTACAATGATTCCATGTAAGAAAAACACAACATTTTTCTCAATGATCATTTAAAATATAAATCACTTAATTACAGAGTATAAATATTTTTAAAACATTTTGTTATTTATTGTGTCTATCTATCGCTCTGACATTGGCCTTTACAATGCGAGGGAACCTTTTTGTTTACTCTCGATTGTACCGAATTAATTTATGCCTGACCTATAAAAAATTCACTTTTCTTTGCGATAAATTTGTTTATGAATGATGACGTTTTAGCCTTGAGTATTTAATAACATTAAATTTAAATAACAATGTTTTTAAACAAAATATTATTACAATAAATAAAAACTAAATAAATACAAAAATGTAACTACAATCAAATGCATTTTGTTGTATAAATCTATAGCAAAAGTTTTATTTTTGGCACATTTTAAAATATATTTTGTACATATTGTTTAAATAATAAATTGAAAATGAGTCAAACACGAAATGATCGTATGGTATCATCGAAAAATGTTTTATTACACTATTTTGATTGTTACTAACAAGTATGTAAATGTGATAGAGAGATACACATTTTATCTTATAGATGTCATTGCTAGTTTTAAAATTTTGTGATTGGATTTGATGGATGGAAGATCAAAATCTCATAGTTTATTAAAATTTATGGAAAAAAGTGAATGTAGCATTAATTTCGTATTAACTTAATAAAAGCAAATTGATCTACATTTTGGGATATAAATCAGCTTGCATTAATATATGAAGACTTAACAAGATGTTAAGCGACACTTTGAAAAAGCTGTAAATAGAAAACTATAAACCTTTAAAGAGATAAAATTTTATTTCTGAAAGTAAAAACAAAATTTAAATTTATTTAATCCAAACGGAAATAGGTTTAAATTTTATGTCTTAACATTTTACTTTAAATTTGCATTCATCAATTAGTACATATTTTAAATTAATATGAAATCTCAGAAGGGGACCTTATATAGGAGAAAGGGTCATATTTTATTTCTGGGTGCATAACACTTATACATATGTATATATACATATGTGCAAATTTTTTTTCTAGATTTTGTAAACAAACAGTCTGGTCTATCGTCTGGACTTTGGTCTGGTCTATAGTGTAGTCCATAGTGTGGCCTATAGTCTAGTCTATAGTCTGGACTATAATCTAGTCTATGTAGTCTGGTCTATAAACTTGTTTATAGTCAAGTCTATAGTCTCGACTATAGTCAAGTGTATAGTCTCGACAATAGTCTAGTCTATAGTCTCGACTATAGTCTAGTCTATAGTTTGGACTATAGTCGAGTCTAAAGTCTGGACTACAATCTAGTCTATAGATTGGACTATAGTCTAGTCTATGGTCTGGGCTATAGTCTAGTCTATAGTTTGGACTATAGTCGAGTCTATAGTCTGGACTACAGTCTAGTCTATGGATTGGACTATAGTCTAGTCTATAGTCTATACTACAGTCTAGTATATAATCTGGACTATAGTCGAGTCTATAGTCTGGACTACAGTCTAGTCTATGGATTGGACTATAGTCTAGTCTATAGTCTATACTACAGTCTAGTATATAATCTGGACTATAGTCTAGTATATTGTCTGGATTAGAGTCTAGTATATAGTTTGGACTATAGCCTAGTTCATAGTCTGGACTATTGTCTAGTCTATAGTCTGGACTAGTCTATAGTCTGGACTATAGTCCAGTCTATAGTCTGGACTATAGTCCAGTCCATAATCTGGGCTATAGTCTAGTATAGTCTGGGCTGTAGTCTAGTCTATAGTCTGGACTATCGTATAGTCTATATTCTGAATGATAGTCCGGACTATAGTTTATTCTGTAGTCTGGACCATAGTCTAGTCTATAATCTGGACTATAATCACGCCTATAGTCTATTCTATAGTCTGGACTATAGTCTAGTCTATTGTCTGGACTATAGTCTAGTCTATAGTCTGGACATAGTCTAGTCTTTATTCTGAACTGTAGTCTAGTCCATAATCTAGTCTATAGTGTAGTCTATAGTCTGGACTATAGTGTAGTCTTTAGTCTGGACTATAGTCTAGTCTATATTCTGGACTATAGTCTAGTCTACAATCTGGACTATAGTTTAATATATAGTCTGGTCTAAAGTCTAGTATATAGTCTATTCTATAGTCTGGACTATTGTCTGGTCTATTATCTGGAATATAGTCTACAATAGTCCTGAACTGCAGTCTAGTTCATAATCTAGTCTATAGTGTAGTCTATAGTCTGGACTATAGTCTAGTCTATAGTGTAGTCTATAGTCTGGACTATAGTCTAGTCTATAGTGTAGTCTATAGTCTGGACTATAGTCTAGTCTATATTCTGGACTATAGTCTTGTCTACAGTCTGGACTATAGTCTTGTCTACAGTCTGGACTATAGTTTAATATATAGTCTGGTCTAAAGTCTAGTATATAGTCTGAACTATAGTCTAGTCTGAACTATAGTCTGGTCTGGATTATAGTCTAGTCTATAATCTGGACTATAATCACGCCTATAGTCTATTCTATAGTCTGGACTATTGTCTAGTCTATTGTCTGGAATATAGTCTACTATAGTCTGAACTGCAGTCTAGTTCATAATCTAGTCTATAGTGTAGTATATAGTCTGGACTATAGTCTAGTCAATAGTGTAGTCTATAGTCTGGACTATAGTCTAGTCTATAGTGTAGTCTATAGTCTGGACTATAGTCTAGTCTATATTCTGGACTATAGTCTTGTCTACAGTCTGGACTATAGTTTAATATATAGTCTGGTCTAAAGTCTAGTATATAGTCCTGAACTATAGTCTGACTATACCATTTGATATAAAAAAATAATATTTAATATTACCTTGGTTCCAATATATTTAAGCAATTTATGTACGAAAAACTAATTTTCTAAGAGAGGCCTTTATATGGGGGCTAGGTTCAAATATGGATCAATCCCGATATTAGTGTTTATAAGTGAATTGTGGACATTGAAGTAATTTTCTGAAGGGAACTTGGTATGAGAACTAGGTTTAACTAAGGCCCGAAATTTGTATAAAATAAGTTGTGCCGCTTTTTATCGAGATACAAGTATATTTAACATAATTATGAGCTCATAAATTCCTTTTCGGGGGGTTCTGTTGTATGGGGGTTAGGTGAAATAATGGACTGATTTTAAATATATTCAATAGCCTAGAATCAAAAAAATCGTATGTGCCAAATTTCATCCAATTATGTTGAAAATTGAGATCTGTACCTTGCGCACAAACTTTACATGGACAGCCGGCAGACGGCCGGACATAGCTTCATCGATGCAGAAAATTATTCTAAGTCGATTGGTAGGACGAATATTTTTGTGAGTTACAAACATCAGCACAAATCCAATATAATAAAGAGGTGTAGGGCAAAAATACTTTAGTTAAATGGTAACATTTAATCTCTATAGCTTATGGTTAATGCGTGACATATTGATCAAATTTCAATTCTTTTATTATTGCAAACGAAATAACTGCGAAACTCCTCTAACCCCAAATTTCAAATTTAAACTGATAATTTGTATAAGAATAACATTTTTATAAAGAATTATGAGGTGAACAATTGATTTATTACTTTCAGAACAAAACAAAAATCTAAATGAGCGAAAATCTTTAAATCTTATTCATTTTAAATAAAGAATTTATATGTTGACAAACAAAATTAAATGATTTAACAAACTGAAAACAAGATTTATCAACTTAACACAATAAAAGATCAATGATAATCAAACTTTAACAGAGTTTCTTTTTAATGTTTTATAATGATAATGACGATGGTGATGGCGTTGGAGATGATGAATATGAAGTGACAAATATTGATTGCGTTATAATAAAACTAAATTTTATATCAAAACTATTGTTAAGTTTAAACAACTATTTTAAAATTTTTTTATAACATTTTCAAATTATTGCAATTTTTTATTATTATCAATGGAATTTTGAAGTTACACACTCTCTGTCTCTGTTATATGTATGCAAATTTAAAACAAATTTTATTATAAAATTGAATTTAATTGTTATAAAAACACAACTACAACAACAAATTAATTAAATAAATCAAGCCCGAATTTATTAGAAAGGTAGACAGACGGACAGTTAAACAAAGAAAAAAGATTCAGATAAAAAAATATGAATGTCAAAAAAAAAAAAAAAAATGAAAAGAGATAATATATTGTTAACATTAAAAAAAAAAAAAATATTTGAAACATTTTGTTGAAAATGTTGAGTTTTCTTTATATTTTATGTTTTACATTATTTTATAGTTTAAGAAGATGTTTATTGTTTTGGATTTTGAAAGGTTTCTGTTGGGGCTATTCGTTGACTATATAAACTAGTGTGTTGATGGAGATGGGTCATCAGTCATCAAGCAACAGCATTTCAAGTAACAACTAAAAAAGCACAGCTTTTCATTTAACTAAACTAAATCTTCAACCCAAGCTTAACATGAAGATCTTTGTGGTATGTGTTTCATTTGAAGAAAATTAAAAAAAAAAAAATTAATTTAAAAATTAAAATTAAAAATGGATTTGAAATTGAGAACAAGTGTTAAAAAAAATAATTAAAAATTACAAGATTTTCTTTGTAAAATAATGGGAAACTAAAGAAAATATAAAAAATTTTAATAAAAAAAGTTGAAAGTGTAAAAAGTTCCAAAAAGGACTAGTTTAAAAAGTGCTCAAAATATAAAATTTATAAAATCTAATGCTCAACAACTTTCAAAAGAATTTTCTTCATTAAAAAACATTACAAGAAATTTCATTCGAATTTAAAGCAGTGATCGGCTTAAAAGAGAAAAGCATTAAGCAAAGTTCTTCGTTGTAAAAAAAACTAATAAGCAACAGTTTATAACTTTTGTTTACATTTGCTTTGTATTGTGCTATAAAAGCTTTCGGCTCCTAATAGCTAAGACTGCTTTTAAACACTTTATAGTTCTTAATATACAAATCAGTTTATTCTTAAGAGAAATACCCTTAAACAAATAACTTTAACACTTCTATCCTCTCTTTCCCACTTAATTACAGACGATTTTGGTAGCATCAACCTTGGCTTTGGCCAACGCAGACATTAGTTTGAAATCGGGTTATAACTACAATGGCAATAACATTGGACCCCAATCCTATTATATGCCACAACAACAGCCGCAACAAATCCCTCCACCTCAACAACCTCAATATCCTACACAAAATATTATACCCCAATCTTTCCTTAAGCCCAACACTCAATACTTGCCCCAACCTCAATTGCAACATCAAAATCAACCTCAATTGCAATTGCAACAGAACCAAAGATATCCTGCTCCCCAAAAGCCTCAACAACAGTTTAACATGCAATTCCCCATGCCTTCCGATTTCCCCTCCACCTTCAGTTTCCAACCTGCTGTCAACACTAAGTCCCAACGTCGCTATCGTCCCCGTGTGCGTACACCCAAGAAACCCATTGTTACCAAGAACTTCTTTATACACTCAGCTCCCGAGGAGACACAAGCTGAAATCGAAGAGGAATTAGCGCCCCTTGCAACAACAACCCCCGCAAACATTACAATGTCTTGTTCGTTAAGACTCCCAGCCAGACCAACAAAGCTGCCGCTCTCAATTTGGCTAAAGCTATTAAGGAAGAAAAGACAGTTGTATATGTTTTGGCTAAGAAAACCTCCGCTGCCGATTTGCAAGATGCCATCAAGGATGCTCCTCAAACCATCAACAAACCCGAAGTATTCTTCATCAAATATCGCACTCCCGAAGAAGCTGCCAATGCTCCAACGTCAAATTCAATCTCATACGATAGTTTGGGTGGTTCCACCACCATCACTGATGAAGGTGTTGCTCCCGCTACTTCCGTTATTGGTTCTCTGGATGCTTCTGAGGAAGAAGAGGAAGAAGAAGTCCCAACAATCCCAATTGGATAACTCTCAAGAACAACAACAAATCCAAAATGCTCACTACGACGAACAACAATTGGTAAATGCTCTGCAGTCGTCCAACAACAATGGTTATTTGCCTCCCTCAAATCAATACTAGCTTAAGATCTTCAATGTTAGATAAATTTGTTATTTAGTTAGTTAAAAAAGCTGTTACGATGATTGTATTCGCGCCATCCGTTCTAGTGTTTCAATCATTCGTTTTATTTGAATGATAGCGGGTGCGCTACAATCTGGTCTTTTGTTACTTATTTGTTACATTTTGACTAGTTTTAAAATGTTTTTTCCACTTAATGTTTAAGAATTTATTAGTTTTAAGTTATAAATTCACTTTTTTTGTAGAAAAAAATTTCATTAAAAAAATTTCACAATAAAATTGCTTGCCATAATTTAAAATATAAAAAAAATTTGAAATTTTATTTCTTCAAGCGAAGGTAGGAGAATATTGATCTATATCGCTCAGGATTTTATTAACATAAATGGTTAGGTTTGTCATTGGCTGACTTTTCCCATGAATAGGACTGTCAGTGAGAAGATCCCAAAAGATATTTTCGCTTAATAAGGTCGAACATAAAACAATTTCAGAATTATTTACTGGACACCATGGTCTTCGATACATTTAGTTTATTTGCAGAGTGAAACCTCGGGGTATATACATCGTGCCCCTAAGGTTTGTGAACTCAACCTACGGATTTCATGGTCGACAACGTAAAGAGGAGAAATATGAAGAGCCCTCACAGAAAATCTTAGAAGCAAAGTTTATTAAGGAAAATTTATGAGACATAGCCTCTCAGTGTAGACTGATAGAGTATTTCTTAAACCGGAGACATATCATTCTTATAATATAGGAGTTGAGATGTGTTGTTAGATTGACTGTTCCCTTAAGTATTTATCGTCGATATTAGCAGCGTTAAAAATGGCTACGAAGGGAGTCAAAAAACGAGTACAGTTTCAATTTGGAAAGTGGTGCAGGTATAGGATAGTTAGAAAGAAACCCAGAAGGTCACGATATCTCAAAGGAAAATGTTGCCAACTCACATTACTTTAACTGAGCATAATTGGCTTAAACTATATGTATCTCATCGGATTGAAACTGTATAGAGGTATTTTCAATAATTAATTAGTCGCACAGTGGTTTAGAAACTTTTATTTTGGAATTAATAAGGTATCTCTGAAACTATTGGATATATAACAAGGATATTTCACATGTTTGGAGCTGAGGTGTTTTCGTGTTGATTAACAGTTGTGGGTGATCGTGGGCGGAATGGGGGGCAGTGTGTAGCCCCTCAAACTTGTTCACCTAGGGTATTCATTTTTCTTTAAATCACTAAAAATGTATGATCTGAATGAGCTGAAATTTATAATATAACTACTCCTTGTGAAGATCTACAAAAACTACGTTTCCATGTGTGTGTTATCTCTTTAGCATTAAGAGATATTTAAGTTTGAATTTTTATACCCTACACCACTATAGTGGGGAGGGCATTATGGGTTTGTGTTGATGTTTGTAACACCTAAAAATATTGGTTCTACACCCACCTTAATGTAATGAGTCCGTCCGTCCGTCTGTGTGTCCATGTCGCAATTTTCAAGACAATTGGATGAAATTTAGTATATACTCTTCTTTTGACCCAATGACGAAGCATATTGAAAACTGTTTAAATCGGTCCATTATTTCGTATAGCCCCATACAACCGTAATTTAAGTAAATAAAAACTTCATTGGACTACCCAGTGATCCCCATGCCGACCACGATCACCTATAATTGTCAATCATCTCGAAAACACTTTAGATCTTAATATATGAAGTTTTTTAAACCATTCTGGGTAATTAGTTCAGATTTCAAAAAATTTCTAGACCTAAATATTTTCGAAAGCATAATATAACTAAAGACTGCATATCAGCAGAGTAGTAACAAAAAAGTGTCCCGGAAGTCCGTTTAATATGTAAATTATAATGTTCTTGTAGTTGTCGAATATTTTTTGATATCTCATCATATTTCCATTTAAACAGTTTTAATTTAAAACAAATTATCTATCACAATTGCACTTGAACTACAAAACACAATTAACTTCAAACACCTTATAAAGCAAAAGGTGTAAATTTAACAACAAATTTAACAAACAAAATAACAATTTAAAACAATCGTACCTGACATGCTAATGACCCGATAACGCCTGACAATCGTTACATTAAAGTAAATAATTTATTAAAACAAAATACGCATAAATACATGAACATTAACAGCGCAAGCGCAGCAGGATCACGCACTCACTAAACACAATAAACCACCATATTAAGCAGACACTCCATAAATAGATGAAGCGCTTTGCTGACTTGCATGCGGTCTCTGAAAACAGACACCTTTTTATAATGAGCTGTAACTGACGTGACTGGCATGACAAGCGAAGAAACAAAAAAAAAAAAACATGGGCTGGCTAAGAACCCAACGAGAATCATCAATAAGGTTTAGGTTGTATGTACTTTAATTTAAAGTAAAAGTTCTTTACAAAACCTATAAAGAAACTTACAGAAGAAACTCACATGAGTATATAAAGCCATGGTCCAAAGGGAATGAGAACTTATTTAACGTTCAACTGCGGATACAAAATGTTCGGCAGCGGAAGAAAGTGTTCATCGGTGCCCGCAATTTGCACATTTTTATTGGTGTCAGTGGCATATTGGCAAACTATAGAAACTGCTGCTGTAACGGCACCCAGTGCTGCAGGGGAAGCTGATATACTATATCCGCCACAATTTACCACAAATCGTATTGTGGGTGGTGAGGAGGCACCCGAAGACCTAGCACCCTATCAAGTTTCTTTGCAGTCTCTTAAGGGTAGACATTTCTGTGGTGGTGCCATTATTGATAAACGTTGGATTATTACAGCCTCTCATTGTGTGGCCGGCAATAAACCGGAGAAACTAAAGATCTTAACGGGTACCCAAAATCTTAAAAATCATACCGAAAAATATTACTATGTGGATCGTATAGAAATGCACTGCAGCTATAATAGTCCTCCCTATGCGAATGATATTGCTTTGTGCATTTGAATGACAGCATTGTGTTCGATAATCATACCCAGGCGGTGGAATATGATCATGAACCCTTAAAGGAAGACGATGAATTGGTGTTAACCGGTTGGGGTACTCTATCGTTGGGTGGTGAAGTTCCTACTAAATTACAAACTTTAAAAGTTAAATATGTTCCATTTAATGAGTGTCGTGCTGCTCATGATAATACCACTTGGGTAGATGTGGGTCATTTGTGTACCTTTAATGACAAGGGTAAGGGTGCTTGTCACGGTGACAGTGGTGGTCCTTTGGTTCATAATGGCAAATTGGTGGCTTTAGTGAATTGGGGCCGCCCTTGTGCTAAGGGTTTGCCAGATGCTCATGCTAGAATTTCCTATTATCATGATTTCATACGTACTCACCTGAAGGCCTGTGGTAAGGAAGAGGAGGAAGAGAAGGAGGAGGAAAAGGAGGGTGAAAAGGAAGGTGAAAAAGAGGGAGAAAAGCAGCCTGAAAAGGAGAAAGAGAAAGAATAAATAATTATTCCTTTTAGGTATTAATGCTTAAGTCTAAGTTGAAATAAAAGTTAACAAAAGATTTGAATTAAAATATTAGTTTTTAGTTTATTTTATGCAACAAAAAAAGTCGGTTTTCGGACCAAACTGCTTTTCAGGGGCAGGACTAATAAGCGAAATTTGGTTGCAAATTATAAAAAGAGCATTCGAGATTTTTAAAATCTCAAATACAAAATTTTGAAAGGATAAAATTATCGGAACCAAATTTTGGATATACACAGATCCAAATCTTTCTAAAATAACACCGTTACCAGTATTCTCATTTTCTATATAAAATTACCGAAATTCCTAAAGCGGAAAAAATGTCTTCTAAAAAATTAGTTTTTCGATAAAAGTGCCAACTGTGACGTTATTAACAGTGTGATAGTAAAATGACTTCGGATATAATTAAGGACTATATAGGTCCATATAAATATAGAGCTATTATGTGGATCGTTGCTTTGCATTTTAAGATTTTATCCTTCAAATTTGCCAAAGTTTGGATGGGGCTGGTGGGGGCTTTGTCTGCTTAGATGAGTAAAATTTTATTTAACACGCTTACGCATTAAGTTCTCTTTCTGAATCATATACATTTTTTATATAGTCCTGAAGAATATTGGAACTTTTTGGGGAAAAAATCTAAAAAATACGGCAAAATTTAAGAATACCAAATATTAAACGTAAATAACTCTTAAAGCAAAAGAGATAACCAACACATATAAACCAGTTTTTGTAGACCTTTTCAAGGAGTTATTATGTTTTACATTTCATCTCATTCAGATCATAAATGTATTTTTGGAAATTTTTTAAAAAATACCCGAGGTGACCAACATTGAGGCCCCCATCACCTACAAGTGTCGGTAAACTTCATAATATCTCATCTCTACACATGTGAAATTTCGTTGTGATAATTCAATAGTTGAAGAGATAACGAATTATTTTCAAAAATAAAAGTTTCTAAGCCCCATATAATCAATTCTCTAACAAATACATTCAAAAAATCAATAAAAATTTCAAATCAAAAACGAGAACATGTTTATCAACAACCAGTATATTTTTTATACAAAAATATTGTGCAAAAATAATTTCAAAAATCATATTTCTAATACATAGTAAAATAAATTCTATGCAGTTATCAAAATTTAAATGCAGGTGGACTAATAAATAATATGTCTGCATATATGCATATCAATAATCTGTTAAATCAATTTGCCCAGGGAATTTCATGAATGAAAATCTAAACAATATTAATTTATTATCTTATTTTGTACATTATTTTTTATCAAATCTCTATATAAAATGTTTTTGTTTAAATCATAATCTTTATGACTTTTAAAATTAAATGATTATAATGGCGAAAAAAATCTCTACTCATGGAAAATAAGCAAAAATTATGGCTTGTTGGTTTAGTGAAAGTAAAAAAAAAAAATAAGAAATTGATAAAACTATAGACGACTTGAGGAGACCTTTGAAATTTTCTAAAGAAAACTATTAACAAAAAAACTTTGTACTTTTATTTTGCATTTGGCTTAAGCGTGTTAGTTTTTGAAAAACAAGTGAAATAAGAAGTAATTAGGAATTTTCTAGTTTAAGGCAATTACTTGATCAAATTAAAGAAATCTTACAGGAATTGGCCACTATTGAGATCTATTAAACTATGAGGCCGTTCTCCCGAAATTTTATATTCTGTGCAACTAAACTACAAGGAATATGAAAATGTTTAAATTTGGAAAAGGGGAATATTTTGACTGATGCCTCATCATGTCAGGGAAACTGTATGGTGAGTCTCGAGCCCTTTTCTAATGAAAA